TTTAAAAAAAAGACCCCCGCCAGCAGGCCCCGTGGCAGGGTGTGAGCTCTGAGGGGCCTCCCTCGAGCTGAGACCAACAGTGACTTGCTAACAGGTCAGAGAGGGAGAAGGGTGTGTGCGAGGGCCTGTGGGGAAGGAGCACGCTGCCCGAGCCAGGCTGCCGGGAGAAGCATGGCTACCGGCCCAGGCGGGCATAGTGAGGCTGCAGGTGTGGCCGGGCCTGGGCTGCGAGGGGGAGACTTTCTCGTGCCCACAGAGGGGGAGACTGTGGACACCTACTCGCTCATGGGCCTAGCTGGGCTCCCCGGGGGAGGCCCCTGCCTGATCCCAGCTCCTGGGTCCCCTCTCGAGTGAACGTCCCCACCACCTGCTACCACAGCAAATGACACAGACACTAACAGCCTTCCCCCCCCACCCCCCCGCGCAAGCTTGCTTCAGGGCCTCGCGGGCCCCAGGTCTTCTTGGCTGCTGGGGAGGAGGGGTGTGCAGGGCTGAACTCCACACCCCGAAAGACAAGGACCTCTGAGGGAGAAGCCAGGCTGGGCTGCAAGGAGGAGCAGGGGCTGGAAGGCAGGGCAGGACAGACAGGGCTGCCTGATGGGCTGTTCCCTGTTGAGAGCTGGGGGTGGGGCGGGGCTGGGCCGGGCCCTGGGCTCACCTGGAGTCCTGCTCAGCTCCTGCTCAGCAACTCAGGGACACCTGCAGGGGCCTGCGGAGGAGCTCAGACCTCCTCTTTATACCAGCAGGTCAAGGGCAAAGTCCCTGGAACCCCAGCTGCTCCCTCTTGCTCCCCCATTAACCTCACCCCTGAGATTCCTCCTGGTTAATTGGTTAATTGCTAATCGTCAGCTTTGCACTGCAGGGGAGTCTGTGCAGCTTCTCCCCTCCCCAGACAGGCACCAGCCTGGGCCAGGACCCTGTGGAGGCCCCAGGCAGAGGCCCCATGCCTCTCGAGCACCTGGTTCCCAATGCCCCAGGATCTAGCTCCTTCCCTCATTCCTGGCTAGACAGGACCCCCCAGGGAAGGACCCAGACATCCTGTGACCTTGCCATGTGTCTACTGTCTGTGAGTCTGTCTGTGGTCTTAGGGTGGGGTAGGAGGCCTCAGAGGAGAGGGGTGCATTACGGAAGAAGCACCAGGAGATGAACCCAGGGAGTTCTGAATGGAAGAGGGTCCCGAATGCCTGACCATAGATCCAGGATGTGGGTCTATGAGCACAGAGAGCTACTGGGCAGACTAGGAAGGGCCTGGTCTGTGTTTTAGAGTAGCCTGTCTGAGGTGGGACCAGGAATGTCAGAGAGAGTCTGGAAACAAAGGGACTGGTTAAGAGGCTGAGGAGATGGTTCCGGGAGAAAAGATGAGGTCAGAACTCTGAAGGGAGCAGAGGGACAGAGAGGAGAGGGTGTGTCCTGGGGTGTGTGACAGAAGATGGTGGCGATGGGTGGGCAGTGAGACGGAATAGGGGACTGGCAGATCTCTGGATTGGGAGGTGATGATGGTATGAGGTCCCCACAGAATTCCTGAAATCCAGAGAAAAGTCCTGGGGAGCCTTTGAGAAAGTTGTCTCCCTTTCATTGGACCCTGGAGCCCACATGGCACCCAGGTTCACAGAGAGATAAGGGAGCTGTTAGAAGGGGTTAAAGATTTGCTCAATCCAACAATGGTGAGTTTTATTCAAGATCTACTTGGGCAACTGTCTGAGTAACATGCCTAACATCATTGACCCACCCACCCACCCACCCATCCTCCCATTCATCTACTT